GTCCCCCACAGACACCCCCACCCACACATCCCCTATACTCCGACAACACCACCGAAGCATCAACAAAACCTCCGCTTCGCCTACCAGCCGCCCTGACTTCCTGTCTTGGCAAGACGTGATATTGGTCTGGTCCAGCGGGGCTGTGATCCTCCTCTCTGTGGTCCTAGCCTTGGCTTGCTACTGCGCCAAACGCCGTGTCTCATGTCGGAAGAAACCACGCACAGATGGCAGCAAGACGGGCGTTTTACTAGAAGACACAGACAGTTCAACATCCGGGCTCTCCCCGTGTCAATCTCTGTTGTACATAAAGGAAGAAAACCCATCCATTGGGTCAAACTGTGAAAGGCCAACTCTTTGTTTGGTCTCGTTTGGAGGGGAGAAGACAGCAGTCTATGAGGACATTCGTTCGCCTTACTACAAGCAATGCAGGGATGGGGAAGAGAATGATATAAAGGTTCTAGATAATGGAGTTAACGACAAATTATCTAGCCTGCACAACAGCAGCAAGATCTGTGACAACAGTTGGACAAAGGAACTCTTGGCCATTCTTTTTCCAGATAAAAGTAGGTATGAAGCCGCTGTCGTTTCTGAGGACGAGCACGAAGCCTGTACCCAGTTGCAAGACTCCGAGGTCGTTTCTGAGGACACGCCCAAAGTCTGCACTCAGCCATCTGTCCCCCACCCATTGCCCCTGGAACAATGTCCAGAGGTTCTTGACCAGACTGACCTCCTCCCAATCCCCCCTCCCCGCTGTGACCCCCCGGAACTCCCCACGAACCCCCAGGAGCAAGACACAGCGCCAGAACCCCCACCAAGGTCAGGGGCGTCCCAGAGCCTGACGGCCAAGGTCACCCCGGGCTGTGTCTCTTCTAGCCAGTCGGAGCTCCTATCGTCGTCGTCCAGGGAGCCCCCGGCCTGCCCCGTCGATGACGTGCGCGATGTAAGACTGAGAGACGATGTAAGACTGAGAGACGATGTAAGACTGAGAGACGACGTAAGACTGACAGACGATGTAAGACTGAGAGACGATGTAAGACTGACAGACGATGTAAGACTGAGAGACGATGTAAGACTGACAGACGATGTAAGACTGACAGACGATGTAAGACTGAGAGACGATGTAAGACTGACAGACGATGTAAGACTGAGAGACGATGTAAGACTGACAGACGATGTAAGACTGACAGACGATGTAAGACTGAGAGACGATGTAAGACTGACAGACGATGTAAGACTGAGA